TTGTCTGTGATTCAAGTCCCAGACCAAGTGGCTTAAACTCACGCCGGGCGTGTGTGTGTGTGTGCGTGTGTGTGCCCAAAATCCCAAGAGGAGAATGAAGGAGAAGGGCCTGCGGCATAGCCAGACCCCCTTGGGGGGGGGTGGTGATGTCTTGCTTTCTGTCTGTCTCTCTGGCGAGCACACCGGCCCTCTCCAAAAAGAGAGAGAGAGAGAGAGAGATATGTTATGGTGAAATAGCTTGAAATGAAAATGTTACAAGAAAGGTCTCTCCATTCCTTCTATCTGAATTTTACTGTTACTTAGTAGCAACTGTTGATTAGAAATACAAATAAGGGACTCCAGTCCAAACACTGCTTAACCTGTTACTGTAGACAGACAACTACAATGCTTAAGCACTGAAGTCTTTGGGGGAAAGTCTTTTTAAAACTCTGGGACTTGGAATTTGACTTTTAAAAGGAAAGCTTTGAAAGGAAACCTTTAAAAGTCAGCTTATCACCACACAAGGAGAGAGAGATGGTAACTATGTATGTGAGGAGGTGGATGTGTTACTTAGCTTGGCCGTGGTGACAAATGTCCCTCAAATTATGAGTTGTACTCCTTAAAAACACATAGCTTTGAATGGCCAATCATACTTCCAAAAAGCCAGAAAAACATCATTTTTTTGAAAACCTCATTAATTCAGGCCCTGCTAGCATGAATTTTGCTGTTTCCTGAACGTAAGCGGAAGAGCAGCACCGCAGCTCGGATGAGCCAGAGGTCGACGGTAACAGGGGTCTACTGAAGGCAGAGGCCGCAGAATTGCTGGATGGTGGCCTGCCGGTCTCGGGGGCTGGATGTGGCCTGACCGTCACAATGCCGAGAAGCTGGGCCATAGGGAAGGTCTGCGTCCAGCACCCTCCGACTACAGGCCACACATTTGCCCATGGTCCAGGGCTGGCCGAAGCTGGGGTGGAGCATGACTTGAAGACCCTGTTGGGGGTGCTGTCTCTCTCTCGTGGAAAAAATAAACTTTGCGAAAAAGTTAAGAAAACCACTTTAAAAAAAAGCTGTTCCAAGAATGTAGCAGTTATAAAGGGTGTATTATTACCATCCTTACAATATTACTTAAGATAAAGAACCCCTGTATGTACTCAGATGCATTTGAAGAGCTCTAATTCAGGCTCTCACTAATGTCAGTGGACTCTCACCCTTCAAAGTCGCCTATGCCAACACAGACAGCACTCTCATAAGGGAGTTAGGCAGGAAGGGAAAACAAAATACATGTTTGGTTCTATTTTACTTAGCTCAATCGCAGTCACAGCTCGACTAACGGAACCAGAAGTAACACTAACACGTACGTCTCCTTACACGCAGTCACGCGCCACACAACATTTTGGCCAAGGGAGGACATGCAGGTGACAGTGGTCCCATAAGAGCATGTGTCTACACTACACAGACTAAGCCTGTAGTGGGACACAGCCGTGAGGTTTGTTAAGTACGCTCCATGGCGTTCAGAGCGAAACCCCTGACCACGCGTTTCTCAAACCATTCGGCAAACCATGACTGGACTTACTCAAACTGCCCAACTATTTGCGATAAAGGAATAAATTACAAATCTACTCGCAGGAAACATAATGTTATTGTTTTATGAAGATGACATTAAGTTCTTTCTCAGCAAATGAACTACAGAAGAAACGGTGCCTCCTGGCCCACGTGGCAAAGGCTAAGATAAGACGCTAAGCTCTAAGCTGGGCAGGCTGGCGCAAGGGGAGCCCAGCTTCCACCCTTGGGCCAACCTAAAGGCTGGGTGTGGTGGGGTGTGCCTGCACTAGGGAGGCTGGGACAGGAGCACTGCCAGCTCCAGGCTGGCCTGGGTCACCGAGTCAGGCCCTGTCTGAGAAACGGCGCTGCATGGTGGCCGGAGCCTGCAGTCTCAGCTGGAGGCTAAGGCAGAGGGATGCCAACACTGAGACCCTCCTAGTTATGATAACGAAGACAAAAAAGAGAAACACTGCACATTCTCTCATTAACGGCTTTAAAAATCACTCTCTAAGATGTTTAATTGTGAAACGATTAATCACAACTCTGGGGACTTTTCCCAGGACAAGTGCACAACAGCACATACTGGGATGTCCCTGCGCTGCTGCGTGGAAAAAATAAACTTTGCGAAAAAGTTAAGAAAACCACTTTAAAAAAAAGCTGTTCCAAGAATGTAGCAGTTATAAAGGGTGTATTATTACCATCCTTACAATATTACTTAAGATAAAGAACCCCTGTATGTACTCAGATGCATTTGAAGAGCTCTAATTCAGGCTCTCACTAATGTCAGTGGACTCTCACCCTTCAAAGTCGCCTATGCCAACACAGACAGCACTCTCATAAGGGAGTTAGGCAGGAAGGGAAAACAAAATACATGTTTGGTTCTATTTTACTTAGCTCAATCGCAGTCACAGCTCGACTAACGGAACCAGAAGTAACACTAACACGTACGTCTCCTTACACGCAGTCACGCGCCACACAACATTTTGGCCAAGGGAGGACATGCAGGTGACAGTGGTCCCATAAGAGCATGTGTCTACACTACACAGACTAAGCCTGTAGTGGGACACAGCCGTGAGGTTTGTTAAGTACGCTCCATGGCGTTCAGAGCGAAACCCCTGACCACGCGTTTCTCAAACCATTCGGCAAACCATGACTGGACTTACTCAAACTGCCCAACTATTTGCGATAAAGGAATAAATTACAAATCTACTCGCAGGAAACATAATGTTATTGTTTTATGAAGATGACATTAAGTTCTTTCTCAGCAAATGAACTACAGAAGAAACGGTGCCTCCTGGCCCACGTGGCAAAGGCTAAGATAAGACGCTAAGCTCTAAGCTGGGCAGGCTGGCGCAAGGGGAGCCCAGCTTCCACCCTTGGGCCAACCTAAAGGCTGGGTGTGGTGGGGTGTGCCTGCACTAGGGAGGCTGGGACAGGAGCACTGCCAGCTCCAGGCTGGCCTGGGTCACCGAGTCAGGCCCTGTCTGAGAAACGGCGCTGCATGGTGGCCGGAGCCTGCAGTCTCAGCTGGAGGCTAAGGCAGAGGGATGCCAACACTGAGACCCTCCTAGTTATGATAACGAAGACAAAAAAGAGAAACACTGCACATTCTCTCATTAACGGCTTTAAAAATCACTCTCTAAGATGTTTAATTGTGAAACGATTAATCACAACTCTGGGGACTTTTCCCAGGACAAGTGCACAACAGCACATACTGGGATGTCCCTGCGCTGCTGTCACTAACAGTGAACCTCCACTCTGGGGAGAAAAGCTGACCCTGCTGTTAAACACCATGTGATCATTCAAAAGACACAGTCCAGGGGTGTTCACTGCGAGGGGAGGATCTCCAAGGTGTACCTAATGCAGAAAAAGCAAGTAGCACAACAATGCGTCCACTGTGACATCATGGGTTCAGGTGTCTGTGTGTGCTCCTGCGCACACACACACCGCTACAGCGCTGTTTCAGCGTGCATACACGTACTTGTAAGAATGCAAAGGAAAAGGTCTGGACGAATATTCAGGAACAGACAGCATCATCCCCTCCAGGGGAGGGTGTGAAGTTAAAATGGGAGCAATCTCTGGGATTCCAGCTTCAGTTTTATGGAGTTTTGACATCCTAAAAAGCAACAATTTAACAACTGCATGCTAACTTCTCTCAAATAACTCACCAACCAGAACCGCTGGATGTAAGGAGACTTCAAAAACAAATGACAGAACACATGCTTTTACCTAGCAAACAGTGACAACACTGGCCAGGCAGAAACTTTCGCTTGCTGTCCCCTGCCTTATCTCCAGGAGGAGAGCGAGCGAGACGAACAGGTACACGGCAAGAGACCTTCGAAGGGGGCCGCTTCGAAGAAAGTGAACTTTTTCGTGGACTCAGGCGTGACCCAGAATCTTCAAATCTCCAAAACGAAGCGGAGCGGAATGCTGCTCCCTCAAGTGTCAGTTGTTTTTAGAAGGCTTAACTAAGAATCGGTGCGTGCCAAGCAGGGCCCTGAAACCCTACACCCCTGCCCGGCCAGCAGGTGCAGGGCAGGCC